GAGAAAGCCCAAATCCGGTGTTTCTCCCCAAGTTAAAAACCAGCAAGGTGCACTGCAGCCTGCCGGCCTTTGACCACAGACGTGGGGCCCGCTGCTGAGCCACTTCTAGGCAGGCTACCCAGCTCCATCTTCAGGCAGAGGACCTGGCTCTTAAGGCCAGGCACCCCCGCTACTCCCCGTAGGAGACCACCTCCTTGCCCTGTCTGTGCCTGGTCAGCCTCTGAGGCTGGGGGCTGGCCAATCTGGCCGCCCACTCTCCCGCCAACCTTCCAAGACTACGGCGAAGAAACATAAAACGACTAAAACACTACTGAGTCTGCAACCCGGGGCACCTGGCCCATTCCGCTCAAAACCCAGAGCGCTCCAAGGACGCCAGGCCTCTCCCTGGCGGGGTGGGTGCTGCACCTAGGCCCAAAGTGGCTCAGATCTCTGACTCCCTCCTGTAGGGCCGCTGTTCAAGGGCACCGCCGCCGCCGCCGGGCTGGAGCCTGTCAAAGTCATGCCGGGGCTGGGGGCTCAGACCATCTCGACTGCGGCCGTCCTGGTCTCCGTCCCCCTCGTCCTCCTCGTCCCGGCTCAGGAAGGCCAGCTCATTCTCATAGCAGAAGGAGTTGGCGCTGGGCAAGAGGAACTTGTTCTCCACCAGTTCCTTGGCACTGCAGCGGGGCGTGGAGGGCACCTCGTAGGTCTTATGGAAGTGGGAGTAGTCAATCTTATACTGATTCTTCTCCTCAAAGAGCACTGGCTCAAAGCGGTGGCCCCACAGGATCTCGTTGGCCAGGTAGGAGCTGCGGGCCTGCGTGGTCATGGCGGTGGCCTCCACCATGCCCTCCAGAATGACCACGATCTCAAAGTCGTCCGTCTCCAGGTCCTGCCGGCTGATGCCGAACAGCGGGCTGGCCTCGTCGATCTCGTGCAGGATGGTGATGGGCGACACCAGGAAGATGCGGTCCAGGCCCTTGTCAAAGCCCACATCGATGTCGATCTGATCCAGCGGGATGTACTCACCCTCCTCCGTGACCCGGGGCTTGATGAGCTGCGCCCGCACGTGGGCCTCCACGATGTGACTCTTGCGGAGGTTGCCCACCCGCCACATGAGGCAGAGCTTGCCGTCGCGCAGGGCCACCACGGCATTGTGGCTGAACAGCAGCGTCTGCGCCCGCTTCTTGGGACGCGCCATCTTGGCCATGATGGCACCGATCATGAAGGAGTCGATGATGCAGCCCACGATGGACTGGGCCACCACCATGAAGACGGCCACGGGGCACTCCTCGGTCACACAGCGCAGCCCGTAGCCGATGGTGGTCTGAGTCTCGATGGAGAAGAGGAAGGCCGCCATGAAGCCGTGCACCTGCAGCACGCACGGGGTGCGGCCCCGGCCCTCGGCCGGCTCCAGGTCGCCGTGGGCCACCGCGATGACCCAGAAGATGACGCCAAAGAGCAGCCAGGAAGCCAGGAAGGCCAGCGAGAAGATGAGCAGCATGTAGCGCCAGCGGATGTCCACGCAGGTGGTGAACATGTCCGCCAGGTAGCGCTGCGACTTCTCGTCCATGTTGGCGAACTCGATGTTGCACTGGCCGTTCTTCTTGACAAAGCGGTTGCGGCACCGGCGCCGCGTGTGGACCTTGCCGTTGCCGAAGCCGTTGGCGCCCGACATGGTGACCAGGTGCAGACCGTCCTCCTCCGACGACACGATGCTGTAGGGGTTGGCCCGGCTGGCCGCGGTCATCCCGGGGTTCGGGGGGCCCTGACCCGCCCCCCGGCTGCCTCCAGGTGGGAGGGCTCCTGCAACGAAAAGGACAGTGGGTGTGTGGCTGGCCCTGTCTCCTCCACTGTCCCCACCAGGGCCTCCCCACTTCCCCTCCAAAACTGAGCCCCCTCTGCCCTCCTATCCTAAGCCCACTCCCTAACTCCACCTTCTCAGCTTGGAAAATGGCCTCCCTTGGCCTCCCCCAAACTCTTGGACTCATCTTAACTCCTCTGACC